TGGGGTTTCTTTTCCCTTTTCCCAGTTCCTGAGTGGGATTTTGTGGTTGCCATGTTCTCCTCACTCTGGGTTCAGGACTGGCCAGGCACTGGCTCCTCTCCTTGGAGCCCAGGGGGCTGCGGGGTCTCTGCACTCCCAGGGGTGAGGAATGGGCTCTCCATGTAGCTGATGCTTTGTCTCCAGGGCATCTTCATTTCCCGAGTGTCTGAGGAGGGGCCTGCAGCTCGAGCCGGGGTCCGTGTTGGTGACAAGCTCCTGGAGGTAAGGACGTGACTCCTGTGACAAAGCAAATGCTTCTGATCACTTGAGAGGAGGTGTGAGATGATTGGCAGTGGATTTGCATCACACATGTTTTAGATCAAGTGAGGAGATGTGTAAGAGCTCAACAAAATTCCTTTGGCTTGGAGATTGTTGTTTGATTTATGTTACTCTGAATCTTTTATTGCTTTATAAGCTCCTGGATTTGCTCTGGCCCAGCTCTGAAGTGTTGTGTGACCCAGGTGGGAGGAAATCCATCCCCAGCAGGCTGAGCTCTGCATACCTGTGTGTACCTGGCAGAAGTGAGCCCTGGAAGGGAACTCCTTACCCTGGGAGCCACGGGGATTGTTTGGGTGGAAAGAACCTTAAAGCCCCTCTCATTTCACCCCTGCCATGGGCAGGGACACCTTCCACTGGCCCAGGGGCTCCAAGCCCTGTCCCACCCAGGGCTGCCACCCCCCTGATCACCTGGCTCTGCCCTGTGCCACCCTGCAGGTGACCTGCTCCGTGACATTCCCCACACCAGGGATGTCACATTGCCAGCTCCAGGTGTTCCAAGGCTGTGAGCAGGGGGATGTCTCATCTGCGAGGTGAACAAGGCTCGACCTGAGTTGTGTTGGATTTTGCTGACTTTTGTTGGTGCAGATGGTTCTGTGAGGGGTCATCTGTCGGGGATGTTGCCTGTAGGGATGATACAGGTGTAGGGAATTTAGGACTCCCTGTACAGAAAGAATTCCTGGGAAAGGGCCTTTCCTTGGTTCCCCTGGATTGGAACAGGGAGGAGGTGGGACAGGAGCTGTGGGATTGCAGGAAAACTCCCCAGAGCCCTGGGCACACCTGAGGGAGCAGGGCCCAGGTGGGGTGGCAGGGCTGAGCAGGTCCCTGGAGCCGTGTGTGAGTTTGGGGCTCTGTGTGAGGGGTGGCTCTGCGTGACCCTGGGGCTCTGTGTGACCCTGGGGCTCTGTGTGACCCTGGGGCTCTGTGTGAGGTGATCCTGTCCCTGTGTCCCCAGGTGAACGGCGTGTCCCTGCACTGTGCCGAGCACCACGTGGCCGTGGAGGCTCTGCGGGGCTCGGGCAGCTCGGTGTCCATGACGGTGCTGCGGGAGCGGATGGTGGAGCCCGAGAACGCCATCACCGTGACCCCGCTGCGGCCCGAGGACGATTACAGCCCCCGGGAGCGGCGTGGGGGGCTGCGCTTCCCCGAGAGCCCCGAGGCGGCGCCGGCCACCGAGCGATTCTCCACCTGCCTCATGCGCAACGAGAAGGGGCTGGGCTTCAGCATCGCTGGGGGCAAGGGCTCCACTCCGTACCGGGCTGGGGACACGGTCAGTCCTGATCCCTGGGCTTCCCAAACCTTCCTCATCCCTGCACTGCGTCCAGGCACTGCAGCCTGGCCCTGGGCTGGGGGGCCAGGTGAGAGCCAGGCGCTCCCAGTGCAGGGAATCATGGAATTCCAGGATGGTTTGGCTTTGGAGGGACCTTACACCTCACCTGTTCCATTCCCTCGTCACAGACAGGTTCCACTGTCCCACGTTGCTCCAAGGCCTGCCCACCTTGGCCTTGAACACTTCCAGGGATGGGGCAGCCGCAGCTTCTCCGTGCCCCCTGTGCCAGGGCCAAAGCACCCTCAGAGGGAACAGCTCCTTCCCAACATCCCATCCAACCCTGCCCTCTGGCAGTGGGAAGCCATTCCCCCTGTGCTGTCACTCCAAGCCCTTGTCCCAAGTCCCTGTCCCAGTTTTTTATGGAAGGACGGGGGCTGGGGCTCCCAGTCCCTGCCAGTGACACCTGATCCCACAGCTGCCCTCTGGGCACGGACTCCAGGCTTTGCTGCCAGGGCTCTGGGGGCTGAGGCTGTGTGTGGAGTGGGCAGCAAACGGGAAGGGCAGGGCAGGGGAGAGCACCGGGACCTGCCCGGTGTCTGGGAGCGGGTTTGGAGAGCCAGGCTCGGCCCGGGCTGCTCTGACCTCACTGACTGTGCTGCAGGGGATCTTCATCTCCCGCATTGCAGAGGGCGGTGCTGCCCACCGGGATGGGATCCTGCACGTCGGGGACCGAGTCATCTCGGTGAGTGTGAGCAGGGAGGGGCTGAGTCAGCTCCAGCCCTTCCTGGGCAGGGGCTGCTTCTCTCCCACTGGGGCTGGATTTTGGGGCTCCCTTTGCCGGCTCCTGAGCCTTCTGGAGGAGATTTCATGTGGGTGGTTCTCCCCTGTGTGGTGGTGGGTGCAGTTACACCTCGCCTTTCCCCAGGTGCTTTGTGCTGTCCCCAGGGATGGGGTGGAGGGAGGGGACACAGCAGCAGCCCCAGCCCGGTGCCCCTCTGGGGGCTCGGCCAGGGCAGGGGGAGCCCTTGGGGCACAGTGGGGTGGCAGGGTCAGCGTGGGCTGCAGCTGAAGGAGCTGCCCAGGGGTACCTCAGTGCTTCCCTGCCTCACCTGGAGCTCTGCCCTGGGCCTCCCGTCCTGTCTGTGTGGATCTCACTGCTCTCACCTCGTGTCTCTGCCTCCTGGTCCTCGCTGCCCTCCTGTGGGAGCCTCTCCTGAGCTCCCCAAACTCTTCCCTCGCTGGCATGCTGCCTCTGGGGGTTTCCTGCAGCTCCTGCTGCTGCTGGTGGTGGGTTTGTGCCCAGCTGCTGTGGTAAGAGCACGTGTTACCACAGCTCTGGCGTGAGTAAACACTGATACAGCCTCGTCAGTGCTGGCTTCTGTCTGCTCTATCCCTGGCCTGGGGCTGGGCTCTGTTTGCTCGGGATTTTAGTGGAGCTTGGGCCCAGGTCTGACACTGGGGTCTTGGCAGGAAGCTTGAGCTGGGATAGCATCTCTCCCTCCCTTCTAGTGCTCCCCACTCCCCAGAATCAAGCCCTGACCCTGATTAATGCCAGACAGACTGAGTTATTTTGGATTTGCTCGTGTTTTGATGCTCCATGGTACGGAGGCAGTACTGGGCCCATGTTTTGGGCCTGGTTTGCTCAGCCTGTGGAAAAAGGAGACACAAAATCATAGCACAGATTCAAAAGTCAAACCTGTTTCCACCCTGCTTCAGCAGCTCTATTTATATCCATGGGCAGCTTCATAGGAAAAGCAGATCTAATTCCCTAGTAATAGCTTGCAGTGGATTCCTTATGGGATGTGTGAGCTCAGGGCTTACAGAGTTGGGGCCTCTGCCAGATTTTGACGTGGCTGAGGCGTTTCTGTCATTATTGCTGACACCCTGAGTGGGGTACCCCTGCTTACCTGTGCTGTATGTGACCAGGCAGGTTTGGTGCTGAGCCCCAGCTGAAGCTCAGATCCTGTGCTCACCTGATGAGTGCAGGATCTTGTCACCTTTCAGGTGTCACCAGGACTACTCCTCGAACTTCCAAGCCCACTTAGCACACTCTTTCAAAGCAGCAATTCAATTTTATTGGAAAGCTTCCACAATGCCATGATTTCTAGGATGTGGGTACAGGTTTCTGTACCTGCATGGGGAAGGGGAGGACCCTCGCTGGGTACAGGGCTCCCACAGGCAGGACCCATTTCCAAAGCCGTGGTCTCCTGGTCATGCTCAGCTCTCACTTTGCCAAAGAATTCTGTTTGCTTAAGAAAATAAATGCAGCACAGCTCCCTGCTCTTCCCCTGTGCTCTAAATCCTCCTGGAGTTCTGCTCAGGAGAGCTGGGATTGCTCCTTTGCCTTAGGGGAGCCTTGAGCACATGGATTGAAGAGCCCAGCCTGGGTCTCCCTGAGCAAACAGCCCTGAACGTGCCCCAGTGAGTGTCACTCCCTCCCCAGTGTTGCTGTGGGAGTCATTCTGGGGGGAGAGCTGGAGTTGTGGGATGGGAATGTAGCAGGGAGGGTCCAGGACTGGGAGCAGTTCCTTAGGGCAGATAATTCTTTTGGAATAGGAATTGGGAAGAAAAGTGATTGTGGGGAGGTTTAGGATAGTGGTGGGTGACGAGTGAGGCAGTGTGGCCCCTTAGAGATCTGCCAGGATAATCCAATTCCCTGGCACACAGAGAAACGTGGAGCAGGGAAAGGACAGACACTGTCCCTTCCCCGTGGCACTCGCTGCATGGCTGGCCTTGCTCTCCAGCCACATGAAGGCCATGGAAAATGAGCTGCCCAAAAGCTGGGTAGCCACCAGGATTGCCAGGCAGAGTTGCTGGGTGAAATGCACCAAGGGCTGCTACGTTTGGCACCTCTGACTCCTCAGTCCTGTGCCCGGGTCCCTGCTGCAGGGAGGCCCTTCTGGTTTGTGCCCATCTGACCACTCTGATCCTGCCAGAGGGGATGTGAGAAAGGAGACTGGGTCGTGCTGCAGCAGGTCTGTGTGTGCAGCATCATCTCGGGGTCAGAGCAGGGCTTGGCTTGGAGGGGACCCTAAGGATCATCTTGTTCCCACTCAGTGAGCATGTCTGGCCTTGGTGTGGTGGTAGAGCCAGGAGCCAGGTCTGTCCTGCGTGCTGCCTTTGTTTCCCATCAGAGAACCCGAGGAATCCTCCCTTCCCAGTGCCCTGGGCACAGGGCTGCTGCTCCCCCTGCTCCCAGGCACAGCTCCCAGGGGCAGCAGGGGCCTGTGCCTTTACAGGTGCACACCTGAGCACAGGTAGTGCTCCCAGGGCAGGAACAGCAGCCAGCTTCTCCCTGCTCCTGCCCTCTGGCCCGTGGGGGTGCAGATTGCTGCTGGGGGGTGCACACATCCTCCCTCCCTCCCTCCAGGAATGCTCCTGGCTGCAGGTCTCCAGCCTCTGCTCCAGGCACTGAGATCTTCAGGCTCCTTGCTCATACCCCAAGCCTTTCATTCGCCTTCTGGGACACCTCTTGAGTGTTCCCATGCTTTGGATTCCTATTTGCCTGCTAGCCCAGCTTGTATTTCACCAGTATCCCTCACACATGTACCCAGAGCAGGGTGAACTGGCACAGTGAATACAGAATGTGGGGAGAAGGCAGAGCAGATGTGGACTCAGGCCCAGGGCTTGGCCAGACCAGCACTGACCAGCAGCCTCTTGTTCTCCCCTGTATTTCCCTGTGCTTGTTCCTCACCTCCAGTCCTCTTCCTGTTCTGCTAAACATCCCATAATAAGTGCTGCATATTCCCACACCACCTCCTTCAAGCTTCCTGCAGCCTCTTGGCCCTTTCCTAAAGGGATGTGCTGACACAACCCCTGTGATCTCCATTTCTCCTGCGAATGGGTTGCCGGGTTTGGCTGCACGTGTCTATCGTGGGTGATCCCTGTGGGTGATTGGTGACTGCTGTAAGGGTCCACGGGGACTGAACTGTGTCACCTGCTCTCCCTGAGGGGCTGTGGGTAATTTCTTACCTGTCCTTGATGCCGTGCTGGCTCAGCAGCCACTGCCCGGCTCCTTTCATCCTCCTCTTCCTCTTCCTGTGGGCACTGCCAGCTGCTGCCTTGGCATCCTTCTGCTCCACGGCAGGGGTGTCCCTCTGGGGACAGTGCTCTCAGCAGAGGGGACACTGCAGTTCCCAGGACAGTGCAGG